GGTGTTTGTAAATGGGATCACAAGTCCGCATCTTGTACAGCAATTAACCACTAAGAAGAATATATGCAGTGTATTATTTGTTGAAACTGTCCTTCCGATATGAGTTCAAACTATCTCATTGCTATCTGTTTGTCAATAAAACTTTGAGAAAAAAAAAAAAAAAAAAGTTAGAATTCTAAAACCATCCTTATTTACATAAACTAGTGTGTTACTGAACACTTAATCATTCTTTTGATCTATTTTGTAGGCCAGACTGCATCTTTTCAAAGCTGCCCGTTATGTCCTAGCCAATGGAATGAGACTTCTTGGAATAATGCCTGTATGTAGGATGTAATTTCTCATTGAAAAGGACTTATCACAATGCTAAATAAATGCAAATTATGTTTACTGGGCTTGCTGCTCACATTATATACTCACTAGCACTTTGTGCCAGTATATTTTACTAAGAGTAAGTAAGCGACTTAACTTACTGGTCTTTTGGGTTTTGCTTTGCTGAGACTGTCTATTACCGACGTTGCCTAGGCCAGCCACAAATCCAGGGCACAAGAAATCCTTTTGCTTCAGCCTCCTGAATGGCTGAAAGTATAGGTGCACACTACCACACCAGCTTGTTTAATCTTTTTGCTCACAAGTTTTGTGGCCAATAAGTACTACTAAGTCTTTTTAAATTAAAAAATTACGGATAATGCAGGTAAAGGCTGAGAATTTAAACTGGTTTGAAGTTTTTTACAGTGTCATTTTCACAAACTTCTTACAGCTGAGATGATCTAAAGTTTTCATCAAATAATTGATGATGAGAGGAACCTAATTTTTTTTTTTTTAAATCTTGGCTAGATATGAATAGAGACCAAAGATAAACATCTTTATGGACAATATGGTTAATAATTCCTCCCAGAGAGAGCCTACTTTTTGTTTACCTTTTAGTTGATACATCCTGGTAACTCACTTTGTGAATTCAGGGACTTAATTTCAATCACTTATGGAGACATTGTTAACGATCTTTTTGTAAAATATACTAACTAAACCATAATTTAGAGTTAAACATTTCTTCCATGTATTTGTGTGGATAAGGTACACTTTGTATGACTTGACGACGTTAGCTAAGATTAGTTAGCACAAGTAGGTATCACATGATATGCTGTACCAGCACAGCGTCCTCCTCTGGCAGCATTTCTCTTCAGGTCTGCTGTAATGTAAATGTTTCTTATAAATGTTGCTAATAGAAGTTTCTAGGGGTAAGGGGTGTGGTTTGATAGTACAGAACTTGCTTGTTTTGTACAAGGCCTTAAATTTGATACCCACCACCATAAAAGGAAAAAAAAAAAGCCTTTTGAATACTAGTGAACATCTTTTTAAGGAAAGAGAAACAAACTGGCATGAACCAAAGCCTTTTCAGTTGGAATAACATCATTTGGCATATATAGTTTACCTCCCTATCCTACCTAGAAGGATTCATGCCTCCATTCTAACTAAACTGCCTGCCAGATTGCTAATGTTTAAAGCATTAATTAATGCTTAAAGCTTAAATTCCCTCAGCACAAACCATAAAATAAAAATCTACAATAATCATGTTTTACACATCCAGTATCCTTCTCCACTTTTTTCCAAGATTAATGGTATTTAAAAAAAAAAAAAATTAATGGTATTCTGGCATTCAATATTAAATAGATGATACAAGAATGGTAATGGGCAGAGCCACGCTTTCATCAAAGCAGCTGCCTAAGAAGTGAATCATTCCTACAATCTAAAGCTGTGTGGCCCTGCCTGATTGTGGCCCTCCTCATGAATTCCCTTTTAGGGAGGGGGCTTAAGATTTATTAAACTTAGGGCACTGCTGTTATTTGCAAACAGCTTTACTTTATACAGTTGCACATATAAAAGAAAAAAAATCAACATGTTGGCTTTTTATGTTTCTACATTATCTTAATGGTTATATCTGTAATATCAAAAAGTGATTAAAGAGGGATTCATATAAATAAAGTTTATTGCTCAATTTCTCCCATTAACATTATAGAAATATTTCACAAATTGAGACCCCAACAACTGTACTTTATTAAAAAAAGTATAAAAGTGAGAAATTTTCTTGAAGACAAGTATATCTAATAGCAAAGAAATATGAGAAAATGAATGGCACAAATATAGCACTAAAGGAGTACCCAGTCACCACGCAGAAATCACTGGCTGAATTACAAAATAGATTCCATTTGAGAAGTTACACATTCAGTTTCTGAACTAGCCTGTGTTGTTTCTGTGTTTGTAAGACCTAGCTCTTGACTGCTACTGAGACAAAATACTGTACATGAATGAACTGGAGAACAAGGAGAGGTCGTCCTCCCCTGATACCTGAACAACAGGACAGCACAAAAATGGCTTTGGCACTTCGATCTTTAGATAGTAGCCCATACCTTATCACTTGATTTGGTAGCTTCACGTGATTTTTTAATACCATATTATCTCCTTACGTGTTATGTACATTATATATACACACAATAAAATTCCTTCATTCTACAACACAGCTGGACCCTCAGCAGGTCTGCAGTTGTCTCTGTGCCAGTTCTCTCAGAGCTTTCTTCTTGCTTGATCCTTGGGCCATACAGTTACTTTGCCGTTGCTATGTAAGCTCCCTTCTGAGACTGACTTTAAGGCTCTAGATTAATGCAGGCTGTTTAGTCACAGTAGGACTCTACCGAGGCTCAAGTCACACACCAATGGTTCTTTCTTTTGAAGCCGTTTCTCCTTGCTGGATGGATGTAGTGTCCTGTCTGGGTAATCCATAGAGATATATGGAAACGCACACGAGAAGGGTACCCAGAGCAAAGGTGAGTGCTGGGGGAAGAAAAAGCTCTGTTTGTGCCTTTAAAATTCTAACAATCATCACTCTAATCAATTTAAATTTTTTAAGAATTTTAACTAAGGATTAACATTATTAGTTACACAAGAAAGCCAAATACTCAATTTTTACAATAGTAAATTTTAGAAAGTTCACTCATTCTAGCAAAAGAAAAAAACAGTAAAATCAAGTGATAACCACTGATCACTCCTGGCACACTTGTGAAGAACATCATGCCTAGCTTGGACCACCCTGACAACAACAACACAAAAGCTTCCTTAGGAAATACTTCAGTTTATAGGAATTATATAGACATGAAATATATGTGAATACAGAAGAAAATGTAATTGATGTAGATTTCCCATGGTATCAGAAATATGTAAAATTTAGGGAAAGAACTGAATACAATTCAGAATTATGTGGTAAATTGCTCAAATCAGTGAAAATTTCTAAATAGATAGAAAATGGTGATTTATTGTGTGAAATTAAATCTCCTGTTAGACGGGCCCATTTTATCTTAATCCTGAAAAATCAGTATGTAAGAAATTGAATTAGAACGTCCCCAAACTTGACATATAGGCGTTATGTATAGGTAAGTGCTTCTATCAAAAGTGTGCATTCTGTTACAAGCTGAAACATTTCTCTGTGAGGTACAACTGCTGTCTTCATAGGCTTTTAAAAATGGTTGCAGAAAAAAAAATGACATAAAGCTATTCTCATTCTTAACTACTAAAAAAGACTATCTTTGCCTTCAAAAAGGCAAGTAGTTTATAGCATATGCCTAACTAATTACCCGAAAGATTTTGCCAAGAAAAAACATTAACCAAAAGCAATTTTTCTCAGGAGAAAAGACCTAAAGACTAATGCTGAACATTAGGATGCCACAGAACGACAATGAAAATTAAAATTTTGCCCTAATCAGGTAAGAACATCAAAAGGAAGACAAGGTATGGAGAGCTCTAGCACTGCGGTGACACATGCAGGCCTTACGGTGCTTACCTCCTATGTGCCAGTCACTGATTTCAAGTAGGTCACTTGAGAAGCAACCCTAGGAGATGGGTGACGCCATTCTCATTGAACAAATAAAAAGTGAGGCACAGGTTTCATTAACTTTCCCAAGGCTGCACAGACGAGATTTGTACCCTACTACAGAATGGTTTTTCTAGGTTTTCTGCAACATTGGTGTTTTCTATTTCCATTTAAGGGTAATCAGCTCTAAAACGAAGTGCAGACATAGGCCAGTTCTGCTTTTACTTAATCCAGACCACTGATAGCTTTTCCTCAGATACTAGTTAATGATATAATAATGACTTATTACACAGCATAAAAGCACCCTGAAATGTATCACTGCCTAAGTAATGAAGGAGCCAACTTAATGGTAGATGAGTGAGAGCCAGGGTAATTCACTAGACTAACAGCAAAGGTGCCAGCCTACCAGCTATGATAATGAATTGAATCACATTAAATGAAACTATCTTTGTATAAAAAAGTTCAGATTGAACTAAGATATCAAACAAGAAGATACAAGGTAAAGGAAAAGATAAAACACACTTGGTTGGGCAGCACCACCATGTAATCCTTGCACTTGAGGGGCTGAGGCAGGAGGATCAGAGAATTGAAGAGCAGCCTGAGCTATATAGTGGATTCAAAGCCAGCTGGATCATTTCCTGAAGCCCTCCTGTCTGGTCCCTTGAGTACGCAGTTGTACTATAGTTACGTCGGAGTGTCTAAGGGGGACTGGTTCCCACACCCATCTCACATACCAAGATCTTCAGATGCTCAAGTTTCATGTAACTTTAACATGCATCCTCCCACGTCCTTTAAATCATTCATAGATTATTTATACCTAATACAATGTAAATGCTATATAAATTACTGTTATATGATTCAGGAAATAATGACAAAGTACATAGCAAGTATAGAAATAATTTTTCCCCAAATATCTGCTGGTTGGATTTATAGATGCTGAACCTATAGACACAGAAAACTTCACTCAAATCATCCTATTTCTAAAAATAAGATGCTTAGGGACCAGGGAGATGGCTCAGTGGAACAAGCACTTCCCTGGCAAGTGCACGGGCCTGAGTCCAATCCCCGGTTCCACAAAAAAATAAAAAAATAAGATGCTGACTACAAAGCTCTCCAGTAACGAGTAGCCCTCTGCTTTCACATAGAAGGAACACCCTTCACTCTCAATTGTAGAACCATTTAAACAGTCTGAATACTGCTAATGCACACTTCGCACAACTCTGAGCTGCTGTACTTAACAGGATAAACTGTAGTAACCAAACCAGAAATTCCTAGAAACAGGATGGTCAACTGCCAGTTTTTTGAGATAAGATCTCTGTATAATGAGGCTGCCTTGTGGTAATCCTCCTGCCTCCTGAGTGCTAGAATTACAAGTGTACGCCACCACACCTAACTCTGCCACTTTTAATAAGACATGAAATGAACTGTAGAAAGGCCAAGACATACTTATCTGTAATCCAAACAGTATAACTGAAGCAATGGTAGAAAGGACAATGGCTGCTGCTGCAGAAAAACCCTTCATGATGTTGTCTGTGTACTTGACCACAATGGAAGTGTAGAGGCCTCCCACACTTGCAAGAACTTGGAACACAAAAAAATAAGATCTTAACACTCAAATTAAACATTCCATGACAGTGAAGTAACTTTCATCTCCAGAGATAGCATACTAATTTACCTAGGAAAGGGAAAATACTATTTTCCTAGAAGTAGTCCTCTGAGAGTTTGTACTAAAATGGAGTAGTTCCTACATAACACTGTTTCTCAGATGCTCAAAAGGCAGTGTGGTCTTCTACTAAATTGTACACATTTATTGCTAACACATTAGATACTCTTGACAGTGAAGGCAAAATTGCTTTGGGATAGCTATGCCACAGAAGTAAGCTAATAAAACCAAAAGTAAACTGGTATTCATAGTTATCAAAGGAATAATTTCAAAATGCTACAAAAGCTTACGATACCTAATTTCAGAAAAATAAAAAGGATCTACTCAGCCTTTACTACCTGGATACTTACATATGACAAACCAGACATAGTATGTGTAACCATAGAAAAATCCTTTTTCTTGGATTTCAGCTCCCTCTGACAAGTAGGCGCCAATTAATGTCACAATGATTCCTGACAGATACATTTGAATGTTTCTCACCCAGAGGGAAGTGTCTGAACTTTTTAAGACTTTTTCAAAATATACCCCTAAAAGATAAAAATATTAAAGATAATACAAATTTTCATTTCAAATATACACTAAAGATACAAAACATGACTTGGGAACCAACAAACCTTGAAAATATTTATTATATACATTATGACACATATACTGAATAATACTAAGTTGCATTTCTCTAGACCATACAGACAACAACTGAAGGAGAAATCTATAAACAACCTTTGATAGGTGCTGTTAAATTAAGAACACTTCTGCCTTTAATTTAGCAGCAAGATAAGTCATGGGGTGCTCTATGCTAATTAACACCAATAAAAGGCTTGCTCTAGTTGAAACACTATTAGATGGAATTATCTTAATCATACTCCTTCACTATCTGGCTAAAAAATGAATACATCTACTTTGGGAGAATAACCTAGTCACCATTTAGTTTTTTCAGAATGACAACCAAAATAAAATTGACCAGAACTTGCTGAGGGAAGTGACTTTTCCTCTAAAGCAGGTTTATAAAGTATCAGCTTCTCACTCAGTAAAGAACTGTGAGTGTGCCTGTCCTTTCTGGGGTTGAGAGTCCACAGACATTTTTCAGACATTCTAAAGAGTATATGACTCCCCTCCACCTCAAAAGTCATACGCCCCTCAGTGAGCCTTTTATTTGAATGAAAACACACACACACACACACAATATATGTATGTAATACAGGGTCTCACTACATAGATCGGACTCAGTAGTGATTCTCCTGTTTTCATCCCCCCAAGCGCTGGGATTACAGGTGTGCGCCACCACACCCAGTCTCAATCCCCAGGGGTGGGCCAGCACAGCACACTGGGGGTTGAACCCCAGCTGCTGTGCTCTGCCTAAGCAGGCACATTAGTCCACTGAGCTATCTGGATGGCCCTTGAATACACACTTGAAAAGACATTAACAATTTTAGGGGTAAAAGTCTATTAGAAACTTAGGATACGTATGTAAAAATCTTAATGAAAAACATATTTTTAATAAATTTATGCTGGAAAGAGCCAGAGAATAAAAACATAAAATTGCCATTTTTATTCTACCTTTGATCTTTCGTCTGAGAAAACCATTTATTTGGTTCTCAGTTACTCTGATCATAAACAACCCTCCATTTCCTCATGTGATCTAAATAGAGTTGGACCTAACTGTTCAAAAGTACTGCGAAAAATCAAAAGTATATTATTTCTTGGATGAGTCCATTTTTATTCCTAATTTGTTGTATGTTAAAAAAGGTTTAGAATACTATGGTTAATTAAGTATATTCAATTAAGTATATTCCTAAATTTAGAAGTTTTCTTATAATGCATCTCATTTTTATCCAAGTTTACTTCATCAAAAATAAAAAATCCTAATGCTTAAAATAGATACAAGTAAGGGTAGACACATAGCTATTGCTAATATATTCATTCCCAAAAAGAGCTTTAAATTTCATCTCTGTTGGAACTATTTTAAAATCATCTTCCATTTTTTTCTTGATTTAATGGAGCAGCAGTTGTTCCTACACATATGACCCCAGACTTCTGTTTTCCTGCTGAGTGACTTTGTTCGTTCGCTCCTTTTCAGCTGTTTTGTACTGTTTTCTAACACTCCATCCACCTTGCCTTTCTAGGCCACAGGTCCTAGTCTGCTCAAGCAGAGAACCTGGAGGTTTTGGAGCTAGTCTGTCTCCAATTGTAGAAAAACAGAAAGCTAGCTGAGCTTTCTAAGGCTAATTTCCTCCACTTTCAGTCTCTCCCCTTCCCCCCCCCTTCATTTACTGTTGGGCTGTTGGTTACACTGAGGAGGTGAGGGATGACAGGCATACATTAGACAACTCCAAGTCTGAATAAGGACTGATGTCTGAACAGAGTCAAACAAGGCCACGCACTGGAGATACGGGGACAAACAACAATAAACATAAGGAGATAAAAGGATTACTAGGAATAAAACTAGCATGCCAGAGCAAGATAAATTAGATACATTGTTAAAGTATGGTTTTATTTATTTTTATTTTACTTTTTTTTTTTTTTTTTGGCGAAACCGGGTATTGAACTCAGACCCTTGCGCTTGCCAGGGAAACACTTATTTTACTGAGCCATCTCCTGAGCCCTAAAGTATAGTTTTAAAGAGTGACAACAGGTAAAATATTTTTCATGACATACCTGCAAATCCTGAGCATAATACAGCAATAGCTATAGCACCAAAACCCAATAATGGATTCTGTTCCACCTATGATAGTAATTTGAAAAGTTTTTTAGTAACAATAGAATTCATCCAACAGTCTAAACAAATAATCTGTGTTAATGTTCTAATAAAAGTATGTGTCATATCACATAAGACAGAACTAATCAAAAAGGCTCATTTTAGAAATCCCAGAGCACTTAAATTGAAAATGTGTCCCTCAAATAACAGACATATAATAACCCTATTTCCTAATACCAATAAGTACTCCAGCATAGAGTTTTCCATATCTGGCCTGCTTCTTAATTTTGCCATCACTCCAGTCTCTTTAGAGTGCTGTCATGAAAATGGTAACAACTTATTTATTCTTCATCACCTACAGTATGAAGGGCTTGACTTCTTCAAGTTTCATTAGATAGTTACAGTGTACCTTCTACATACTGAATCATAGCTATATACTGAATAAAGAAGGCAATACATAGCTCACAAAAATCTGCTTTTATAATTTCATGTACAGGAGAATTGACAAGAATATACAATTGGTAATGCTGGGAGACATGCCTTGAGATGCATGTGTAATGAGTTCCCACCAGACCACTGTTCCAAGCTCATTTATTTTCCTTCTTTCATCTCTTTCCTTGAGGCAAACACTACCTGAACAATATTGCTGAAATTAAGAGGACTGATACTCAATTCCAATATTGCAAAGAAGAATATGCTGTGTTCAAAATAAGCCTAATGTAAGGAGAGTAAGTACCTGGGAGAGAAAGCTTGGTCTAAAATGTTTGTATGAAGATAAAAGGAGAAACGGAAGACATTGTAGACCAGTGGTTCTCAAAGTGTGGTCCCTGGACCAGCTGCAGCAGCATCACCTGGAAATTTATTACAAATGGAAATTGTCAGGCCCCATCCCAGGGAGGAGCCCAGCAACCTGTTTCAATTAGTGTACCAAGTTCCTGACTTGCTTTATTGTTCTCTACAGTTAGGAAACAGTGATGGAAATTGCTTCCCTGGACTGGCAAGGATCTGACAGGTGATGAAGTGCACATGAAGGAAATTCTGGACCAAGAAAGCAGCCGTGTCACTGCAGCATGAGTAACTGCCCAATCTTGAATAAATCACAATTCAGAGGATAAACTTCCAGTTAGAATCCTATGACCAGTGGGAAAGTGGTTAAGAAGGATTAAGAGGACCTGAAGAATGACATTCTGATGAAGAGTTAGAACACAAAGAAATCAACATGACTAAGGCATCGTCACTGAACTGCAGAACATTGAGAAATATAACCAGAAACTGTAAACCATTAAAGAATTAGACTAAGCAGAGGCTTACAAAGGGGGGAAAAAAAAAAAACAACCTTAAAGCATTAAAAGGCTTTTTAAAGTATGTTTATTCATGGGGAAAATGTTTAAGCTAGATAATGTACTATTAGATGATAAGTAAATAGAATTAGCAAAGTCTAGTTTCTTTTTCCCCATAAATGGTAATTTTAAAATATAAACACACTCAAAATAGAATACAAATGATCTGAACTTATGGTCACCAGTGGAAAGAAGTATGGTTTCCTCAGAATGAAACATCCAGATTTCTCTACTGAAAGGATTCTTGTTAAATGATTAGAGGAATTTCAAAAAGGCCAAGTTTGGCAAGAAATCTGACAGAGCTGCCAATATCTCTACAGACAAGACAGAATGTAGTGAGCACGACAGTATAATAAATGCTTATACAGAAAACATGCTGATAGGATCAAATCACGCTAGACAAGCAACCAGTGCCAACCTGTCAGGAATTATGATAAGCCCATGCAGAAATACATCCTCAGGGCCCAGTCAAGCCTTTATAGCTGACTGCAACTCTAGACAGTGGCTTCGCTACAACCTTGTAAGAGAGCCAAGCCAGAACCACCTGGCTGAGGCAACCTTAGGCATGGAACTAAGGAACTCTGGTCCTGTTTGAAATTTTCACTGAAGACTTTGCCCACTCTAGAAAGCATACTATGCAAAGGAAAGCTGATAATAGGTAAGAACTGTAAAGACCTCGGGACTGACACAGAACGGGATGAGCTGCCTAAATACAAATACATCCTGCATTTTAATTTAGAATTAAGTCTGCTACTGAGACAAATGTGACACAAGTTCATATAGCTGTGTACAATCAATTCTAAAATTGATTTAGAATACACTACTCAAAAAACTAATTTTTGCTCATTCAGAACAAGGGGAGGAGAGGAAATCTCAAAGTATACCTAATTTGATAGACGTTTTAAGACATACTGAGGAACAAGATCAATGAATGCGTCTAGAAGAGAAACAAGTATTGGGCTAGAGGCAGGGACTGCTAAGTTTCTGACTAGAAACTATACCATGGAAAGAATAGGGTTGTGTAAATGGGAGAGAAGGGGAACCTGGAGAATGGGGGCATGATACTATCTTCAGGCACTCACAAGATCATCTTGGGGAGTTAGCGGGGACTTAAATTATTCAGACAAGAACAATGAGAAGTAGTTACGGAATCTGCATTCTGCTTAAACTATGAATCTTGAGGGGTCCAAGTAGGAAAAGCTGCCCTTAATCCACTTAAGCCAACAACTTTCAAATGTGTCTGAGGTAGACCTAACGATTTTTCTGATATTACTTAAAGCTCACATTTAACATAATGTTTGCCTTCCCAAAGAAGTTATTTCTCTGCAGTTCTACTGAGTTAAACTTGTGTATCTGATAAATGTTTTGAAATGTCACCAAGGATAGGAACATGCTTCCACAGCATCTGAAAGCAGTTAAGTCTCAATCGAAAACTCATTTTCTGAAAAAAGACATTTCTCTATCAAACTAGAGAGTAATTACTAAAAAGAACCAGACTTGTCATTTTTTAAGCTCTCTGCCCATTCCCAACTGCCCTTCCTAAGAAAATTATGGCCTGTTTGCTGAAAGTTGGAGAGTACATATTTGTAGAAAACCCCCTGACCTTTAAAGTCATTCACCAGAGGTCCACTTCCAACTTCTCTTTGGGGAAATAAATGATTGTGACATGGAGTATTAAGAAAAAAAAGGAATGTACCTTAATATTCACTCTTGAACCTTAAGATTTACTCCTGAAAACTTAAGAGGTATTTCTTTTTTGCCCTATTGTCATCATCAGTGCTCAGAACACCATTCCCGTCATCAAGTTAAGAGGAAAGAATGAAACCCAAATGGAGAACACCTTTGCTGGTATTCCTGAGATGTTTCTAAAGGTGTAGAAATTTGTGTAGAAGCTGATGGTTTTAGTCACAAATTAGTGATTAACTCTTTGGACAAGTCATTATTTGGACTTCATTTTTGTTGCTGATAAAACAAGGGGATGGAAAATGTATAAGGTACTATCCTAACACATTTTTTTCTCTGATATATTTTAGTATGTTTCTTCAAGAAATAGAAAATAGTCTATATTGCTATCATTAACAGCAAAACTTGTTTTTTAGAAAAGCCTTTCTAAAAGGAAAAATTTAAGTCAAAGAAATGTGACTGTGATATATTCACCCATGTGACTGATATGTACAAGACTGCAGTGCAACTCAGACATTTCCTACATCAGTTCTGTAGTTTTTTTCTTACCATAACTTTTGTAGCTTGGGCTGGTTTCCACTGTACAAGTGTGACTCCACCACACAGCATAAAAACTGAAATCCACTGTAATTTGCTGAGTGTCCGATTTAACATTAAAACAGTACATAAAGCAGTACAGGGAATTTTCAACTGGTAGGTCACCTATTCAACAAATTAATGAATTAATAAATAGCTAATATTATTAATATTTGGTTAGTATTTGTCTCTGACAGATGAACATTTCTGAAATCATTAACATTGAGAAACTTATTTGATGTGGTAGAATTAGCAAAATCTTTCCATAATAAATCTATTTCAAGCAGTTAGAACTTTTCATTATCATTTGCTACACTTACCTGGTATACTGCTGCATCCAGATTGCTAAGCGCTAGGAAAGCCATGTTGTTCTGAACAGCGTACACTAACGAAGGCACACTTAACTTCATCAGTTCCTTGGGGCTCCCCAAGACATTCTCACTTAAAGATGCCTTGAATCTACCCAGGCTACCAGTTTCTCTTTGAAAACAAAAGAGGGAAATGGTAAAGTGGTAAAGTAGAAAAGTAAAGAACATTCTTGTAATACAATTCCGTCACACAGGATGTTGTTCATGTTAAGTCCTTTGGTACAATTCAGCATAATTTCTAAAATAATTTCCAATGAACTTCAGATTAAAGGAAATATAACAATGTATCTCTATTTAAAAATTAAGATTTAGAAAAATCTGACATTAACTAGGCTTACCACTTCTGGTTAAAAGTGTCAGAAGATTTTGAGTATATTAAGTAATGAAATGAAACAATCTTTTGCCACTTTAAGCAGAATGCATCAAGCTCATTATTTTTTAATTAGGCTTCATAGCCACCTTTTAAAACATTTTTCCACATTATATTTAAAGTACAAACAGGGCTGGGGAGATAGTTTGGCAATCTAAGCGCCTGCCTGGCAAGCACAAGGACCCGAGTTCGATCCCTAGTACCGCATGCTGTGCCGGCGTGAAACCAGGCATGGTGGTGCATGCATATAATCCCAGTGCTAGGAAGGCTGAGACAGGAGGATCACTACAAGTCTGAACTATGTAGCAAGACCCTCTTGTCAAATAAATAATAAAGTACAAACAAAAGAAAGGCTTAGTTGTTATGAAGTTACTGAATTAGGAATCAAATGATTCAGGTCAATGTTATTTGTAAATGAATTCAGGCTTAGTAGATAATTTACATAAGCAGTCTCAATATTTAAGCCCAATCTGTATAATTCTATGGAAAATCCCAAAAAAGAACTATCTGTAAGATACAAAAAGTAATTATTTGATTCATATTGATTATATGTGCTCTTAACTATTCTGACTTATTTTTGCTCAGGAGACCTGAATAATCTAGCTTGCAGTTCCACTATAAATCATTTATTTCCAGAAAGTAAAAATAAAACTTTTATCATAAGTATCAATACTCCCAAAAAAGTACTTTAGCAAATTGGTCCTAAACACAGCTCATTAACACCCTTATAAGAACCAAAATCTTCAATGGACAGTAGCTGTATTCTATGATAATCACAATAAGCCTCTGTATTTTCATTTAATTCAAATCAGCAGTTTGAATTCAATATTTTTAATAGTTAAATACTATAAAAAATAAGCTCTGAGGGGGAGTGAAAGTCCATTATATCAAATTTATTACCTGTGCCTATGTTTTCATTGTTTCTAAATCTCAACTCAAGAAAATAAGACAAGAAATTTGGCATAGGCCTTACAAACAAAAGACATCCTTCTTAGTTACAGACCTTTTTCTACTGCAGGTTAAACACCTACCATACCATTATGTTCAATCTGTACGTAACGTAATGTGGACAGGTTGGTCATAGACTAAAAACTATGAGATGAGGAAACAGTATCAAAAAGATTACTCTCAGGGCTGGTGAGATGGCTCAGTGGTCTAAAGCACCTACTTAGAACAAGCTAAACAAAGCACAGGGACCGCGGTTCAATCCCCCAGCACCACATGCCAGCCAGCAGCGCCCCCTGGTGGGCTGAGCTGGCCACACACACACATGCACACACACACACAAATAAATAAAAATTTAAAAAATTTAAAAAAAGATTACTCTCTACTGAAAAAGCTACATGACAGTTTTCTAGGTCTGAAGATGAGTCTTTAAATCCTAGGCTGTTTGTGGTGATAGGGTTAAAACCCTCGGCTGATGCTTAATGGAAACCAAGGATGTGCTGTATACCCAAACAGAGAATAAAGAAAAATTTTACATTTTTTAAAATAAAAGTTAAGATTATAAAACCAAAGACCCCACAGGGATTGAGTCCAAGGAACCATCTCAAAAGATGATATATTAGAAAACATAATTGGACATGATAATTAGTGTCACATAATAAACTTTATAGGCTGTATAGAATACTACTTACTACTTCCGCTTTACTGTTATTTTTAATGCCTTTCTAAAGTACAAACTTACCCACTGCTGTATCCTCCTATTACTGCCCTAAAGGAACAATTGAGAGGCACCATTTACGTAGCTCCCCAAATCCTCACACTCTGCTTCCTCTCATGTCCATGTGTCTCCTACAGAAGGTTCTTCAAGTTAAACCCTCAAAGGCATAATGGCTTTCACTTCCCTAATCCCCAGCTATGGGCAGTGCTGTTTTGTCTCTACCCCTTGTATTAGTGACTTTCTTGGCTACTCAAAGAAACAGAACTGGCTGGTTGGCCTTCAAAAACTGGGCAACACAAGGTCCAGTTGCTACTTGAATAACCACACCTGTACCAAAACCAAGGTGATTGTGGTCTGTTTTCTCACTTTCACTTTCCTTAACTTTTTAACTTTTTTAGCCTTTGAATAAACCAACCATTTAGAATTCGGTTCCTTCCATGTGACCAACCAGCACCATACACTGTGTCAAGATTAACTTTTGGGTTTTCATTTCTTATGGCCAGATCCGATTGTTAGATGCTCAAAAGCTATTTTCTCAGTGCCAGGAAGGTTTAGGTATCCTTTTCTATTGCCCTCAAGGGTAGATATTACAGAAGCAGAGGCATAAGAAATACCATGGAAAAGCTCAAAGTGCACTGTAATATCTTAGGATTATGACAATATAGTTGTAAGATACTGAAATAAGTAACAGAAACTAAGAAAAAAAAATCAAAGTAGACAAGCAGTAGATTATGAGGCATAAGAAATGGAAATCTTACCCTGTAAAGTTTATGAGGGAGTAAATTAGGTTTATACTGCTTATTAATTTATTAAGAATATAGCTTGTACTTAGCTTTACTCACTAAAGTTATTTTTTAAAAATAACAAAAACAGTATCTTCCAGAAAAGTCTAGTATATTATCCTTTTTGCTAATACAAAGACAAAAATATAAGGTCAATTCTCAATTTACTAGCCTTGAGTATTCTATAATAAAATCTAAAGGCCATTTTTCATTTCATTTTCCTGACAGGATTCAAATCAAACTCCCTGAGGAGCATCTTTTCTTAAGAAATTTATTAATTATGTAAATAATTTTGCAAGATGAGAACATTTAAAATCAAAAAGCTTTTAAAATGCAGTCTTTTTTCCTATTAAATTTCCTATCTGTACAGTCCTTTTATCGGGGGCATAGAATCCATGTGCAGCCTTGGTCACCTGCCGGCACCCTCACGCGCCACGTTGACTGCAGAGGTGCCACTGCTGCCTGCCCCCTCAATTTCCCATCAACCGGCTAAAACCAGTTCTTTCTGACCTACATCTGGTCAAAAGTAGGCCTCATTCTTCCAGCTTCTGTTCTGAAGAGAACTACTAGGAAGCATACAATCCTTAGGTAGGTTACCAAGGAACTATGCAAAATGGAACTCTGCAGAAGTTAATCATGAGCTTAAGAAAGTTCGATTTTGTTTACAAAGTTTTTATCTGCAAAGTTCATTAATTTTTATAATTAACACACGAAAGACTTTCTTGGGCCAGATATAAAAAAAAATTAGGTCAACTTGAGAACAAAAATATTCATCAGATGCAGTAAATGACTTGCCTTTCTCCCCAAGACCCAGAACTCATTACAGCACAGAAATGAAGGCGCAGTAAAAACATAAGCCCAGCAGGAGCGATAAACAGGGCGAGGGAGTCTGTAACATGTATTTGAGAGCTTTCTTGGGTATTAGATACTATGAAATAGTAAAACTGTCTTGTCTCAATATGGATAGGTAGCTCAAGTAGAAAATGCATTTGCTTTACTACTAAAACACACCCAAAGTGTGTGTACATTAACATGTACACATCCTGCTACAATCATTTAGTCTTACTACGGTGAACAGCAAACAATAAAAAGTTGACTTTGTTCTGAGGCAATGTGAAAGCGCTTTCACTTCCTTTTCCCTGTTACCACTAATGATGGATTTTAATCTGCAACGTTAATAGGTGCTATAGGGCTTAATTTCCCTGTGATTTTTAATACACTTTTACTAAAAAATATTTTTAATGTTTTAATTTCAAAATATAGCTTAGAAACTGGGAACTTAATATTTTAAGCATTTTTTAAGTATTCACATACAGAGTTTTCATAACATTACTTCTACTTTGCTCCGATCCTCAAAAGCAAAATTCATGGGGCCGGGGAGATGGCTCAGTAGAATAAGCGCTTGCCTGGCAAGTGCAAGGGTCTGAGTTCAATCCCCGGTTCCGCAAAAAAAAAAAAAAAAAAAAGCAAAATTCATTTTTGTTCAAGTGCGTATATTTCCTATTGGCTGACTGGGCCAAGAAGCAAGGATACTGTAGTACCTATATGTATACAAGATGCCTGATTTCTAAATATCATTATGAAAATTAAGGCAAGCCAAGAATGCTTGAAAAAATTATGTGACTCCAGTATTCAGACAGGTGAAGTACACATAAACCTAGAGTAACCTGCTAAAAACAAACTTCAGAGACTGGTGAAAATATGTGAAAAAGTAACAGGACAAAGTCTGCAGTTCCCGAAGTTTAAATCTGGGACATTTTGAGTATCAAAGTAATGAGCTAGACATGGTGGCCCACACTCAGGAGGCTGAAGCCAGAGGATCCTGTGAGGCCAGCCTAGGCTGCAGAGTGAGTTCAAGGCCAGCCTGCATTACATAGTGAGACCTTGTCTCAACAATGACACGGAAGTTATACAATAAAATAATCCAGAAGTACACATTTTTCACTTTCTCAGGCTTTTTGTTGCTGATTAAGGTGGCCCCCAAGGAGAATGCTTTGTTGTGAGAAGGCTATAACATTATAGAAAAAACACATGTAATAAACTTCATTCAGGCATAAATTACAGTGCTAATAACCATGAATTTGATAAATAAACTTCATTCAGGCATAAATTACAGAGCTACGGACCATGAGTTCAATGCTACTTAGAAGTATTAGTCCGTAGTGTGTTAGCTTTCTGCTACTGTAACAAAATACCTGAGATAATCATTTATAATGATGTATAATCATTTGGCTCACAGCTCTGCAGATTTTAGACCATGATAAGGTGGCCTGCTGCTCTGTACAAGGCTGCAAAGT